TTCCTCAACATCTGTGCCAATGTTCTCAAGCGCATTGCTTTAGGAAGGATTCAGATCCATTCCTTCATTCCATCTACAGCTTTCGTGAAATCCGTGAAGGTCGTAAGTCTATCCTTCACAGGCCTTATTAATCGTCCCGACCTTTGCAGTAATGACGGATCCCGGAACAGGTGGACAGGCGTGATCAAAGTTTTCAAAAAGAATGCCAGTATAGTGAATCACATTACTATAAAGCTGACTGGAGTGTCCACACTTCAAACATGTGCAACTACAATCTATTTCCATTCACTTAACATTTTTCATTGACTCGTTCAACCACCAAAGGTTGTTGCTACGTTGAACAACGAAGGTTTCGTCAATATGCTGAAGAAGAACACCGATAATTTGCATTGTTCTCGATAAAGGAAAATCCTTTTAATACGAAAGCGGGATATGAAATTAAACGGTGTTCATACAATTCGGCGCCGATTGTTTCACGCCGGTTGTAAATAGTTGGGCAGAAATGCTCTTACGTACATGCAACAGTAGAGGAGGTCCCCATGAAGATTGACTGTTTTGAGCAACTAACAAGCTGTATCGCACGCTTTTGGTTGAAAACATGCATATTAGGGAGAGTTCGAAGCGTTTCAAGGCGATTTCACTTCTACAAAGAAGACCATACCTTCTTTAAAATCATTCCTAGCGATTTCAACCGTAGTGCTGAACTGAGGAGAACGTATGAGAAATGTCACATCAAGATTCACATGTTAGAATGAAACAAACAGGATGAGAACCTATCCGAGTTTATCATGTCGATCGTGACCATTCATGATAACTCACAATTCCGGAAGCCCCATTCTCAGCATTGGACTTAAAAGGCTCCAAGTAGAAAGTACTGTCGCGGTATGTGTACATATATATATATATATATATATATATATATACACGTATTTGTATATATGCATATATACAGTGCATGTATATATGGATATATAGAATTCGAAATCAACTTTTGTTTAATCTTCGCATGAATAATCAATGACATGGACCGCCCTTATTTAAGTTATAGTGGTAGTTATTTCTTCTTCTTCATGCACAATGAATAAAGTTTCGCCGATTTCGCCTTCCTCAGAGCCTAGACGGGCTATGCGATATCGTATTGTATTATTCTATTGATACTTTCTAACACCAATGTAAATCTAATTCAAAAAACCAATCTATCTATTAAGAAAGTCCCAATACTCAATTCCTTTAGATGAAGTGAGGTCACCTGCGTGTTGTTCAAACACAATGAACTTTGCTTAGACCAGGAAACCACTTTGATACAAGGCGACATACCACTTGTGACAGTCGGGCACTCTTCCTTTCTATCTAGTATTAGAATTTCGAAATTTACACGAAGAGTTTTAGTGCGCTATTGTTATCGATTCCAGCCACGAGGATTGTGACCACTACCTCAATACTGACACCACTGTACCTTTGTACTCTTTTTTTTTTAAAGCAGTACTTGTTAAGGTTTTCGACACTCCATCAAGGTGTTCTCTTAAGCGGACACAAAGTGTTTACAAGTTCACCCATTTCTCCAATGTTTTTAGCACTGCATTTCTTACAAGATATCAGGTACATGGCACCTGAGCATATGCAGTCTCCGTCTCTATCTATAAAGCAAATCATGCCATCTTTTGTTTTAGTCAGACGATCGTACAGACGTTTCTAAATCACCTGACAACGTAAAGCGCAAGACGAAATCTCTATAATTGCCATAGAGTTGTCAGGACCACTCTTTCGAGGCACCAGTTGATTAAGGTGCTTATTCCGTATATTAATAAAAGATAGAGCAAAAGATATCTTCTCACTAGAATTAGATTGTTTGGCTGGGCTATCTGCCCTTTTTCTTAAAATTTTTCCAATTAATGCACTTCTAAACAGAGGAACTATCTCCTGCGCGTAATTGGTACTAAAGAAAACTTAGGCTTCAATGCCCCCACACGAGTCCCTCGACAGTCAACTGGAAGACTCATGATATAGGACGTAGAATTCGGAACGAGGAACTATGAGAAAAGCCAATATGAAAATACGCTCCCAATGTACTGAGCATGAAATATTTTCAAAACGATCACCTTGAAATTAAATGAGAAAATGGCAGTTTCTCCAATAATTTGTATCCATTCTGTTCTGGAACGTAAGCCACGCCAGCGTATCGGCTTAGACATAATGCAATCACAGTAATGTAAAAAAGAAAAGCGAATAAAAGGCAGATCTGAAATTGGAGCTCTTAAATCAGCTAGGATGCTGGTGGGGATACAAGGAACCATGATTGCGTAACATTTGTGTCCTTCACCTACTTCTGAACTACTAGTGAGAATTCTACTATTAACATTTAAATTATAGTACACTAATCCACGCAAACAACTAAGACTCCAAGCAGTTGTTTAAAAACGCCAAAATATTTTGCTTCAGTTCACAACACAATTTATAAGTTTCCCATCGTTGCTAAGTGACTCTTGTATGTATACTTTAAATAATCGTCATATCCCCACTCCGACGGTGCCTCGTTCTGCCCGAGAGCTTTCCTGGGTATAGGATTGCGATGAAAATGCGTGCAGTCCAGTCGTTAAATGTCCCCTGCAATACACATGGGTTCGATCCCGCGTCCCAGTCTTACCAAGCCATCTCTCGCGGCCCGTTGAAGTGGTACCAGACCTGCCTGGGAGGATAGCGGATATCAGCACTGACTCTATACACCAATAACGTGTTGCGGTCCATTGCACATCCCCGATGTGTTGACAACAAGAACGAATATTGCTTGAAGTTGAATGCACGGTACCCCAGTCAGCCATTAATAAAGACCAAGAGTCTTGCCCTTTATTCTTTTCCTATCGGACGACCATGTACAACGGGAAATTTTTTCTCTCAGCAAGCACATCATGGCTGAGGAAAGCCCAACGATTCCACGATGTAGAGCAATACTAGAAATATACATAATGATGCCGAGATATTTGCAAAACTCCTAACTACTGGTGTCTGCGGAGAATACAGAACATGCCATTACTCTTTTTGAGGGCTACCATGTTCACCACCATACCATGCGAGTTCTTCGTTTCGTTTGCTCTCAGCCGTATTGTTTTGACTATAGGTGCTACCAGCTTTCACGCGTCAGCGATATCGATCTGGGAAGCATGATTCAGTATTGATCCCCGTTGGAAATACAGCAATCACCGTCTTACTGGAACGAAATTATACACAAGGGAAAAAATACTCCTCTAATCCTTCCACAAAACTCCGGTGACTCCCGGTGGCAGCGAACTGAGCCAAATCCTTGGCTGACCTCTAAACTTCAAAAACTATAAAGAGCTCAACCAACAATAATTCTGCCTCATTACTTCTGTCCTCCCCTTACTAGAACGGCGAGCGATGAGAAAAACCGTCAGAAGAGATGAAAACACGGGTTGCACAGGTATTCATTGGAAACGGATAAAACACATCACGGCACGTCATGGAGATTGGTTCTTGTGCTGCACCTAAAACACCAAACCATTCCTATTAGACACTAATCCTCACGCTCTTTCTGAGAACTTTAAAATTTCATATGATTGCCTTACGAAAAAAACTGAAAGCGGGAAGGCCGACAAAACACAATTGCACGAGAGGGCCCTTGGCACACGTGATGGGAAAGCCTCGTTATGAGATATTGATATCGTTCGCCTTTACACAGTTATCTATTTCATATACAGTCGCCTCACATGGAATGATATCACGACGTTTGGCCATTCTTCTTCTTCAACTTTCGCTTTAAATCAGTATCATCAACTGTCACTAGCCATCTTGTACAGCTGATGAGAGCGGACTGGCGGCATTCTACAAATAGTTGGAGGAAGTGGTCTGCAATAAGAAGTACCTCTACAAATTCGTCGTTGGAGACTTCAATGCCAGATTAGAAAGAACCAAGAAAAAAACTACGAGATAGGATAATCCGAAATATGTGATGGAATTGAAAATGGGAATAGTCTTGCAGGACTTCTGGCTATAGAATGTTTCTTGTATGGGAATTCATTGTTAGAGAAGAGAAAATTTTCGTTGATAGTAAGAGATTTTCAACGCACCGCCATGTGTGGGAATGAACCATATTCTCACGAGGAGGAAATGCTGCCTCTTTCACACTGTAGTGGTACCTGGATTCTGCACTGAATGCTATCACTGCCATATTCTCATGACGATTCGCTTAAGCCACCAGGCTGAGAAACGTCCAAGAAAAGCGAAACAAGTCCTGTATGACAATGATATTTTCAATAAAATCCTTTCTCATATAGCTAACAAAAGAACGAGGACCAGTTCAAGATCGACAAGCTGCTTGTCCAACGACTTAAAGCTTGTTCGTATTCGCATCAGTTTCCTAGACAAGGAGTTCAGATGGCATCCCCATTACTAAGGAGTTGCTCGAAAAGATGACACTTACGCTTAGACCTACTGTAACACCCCTAACACGGCTGACAATAAATGCCAAATTCAGAAGATCTTTGCAAAAGGATCCCATTCGCGGAAAAACTTACTGGAAGATGTCATGGTCGTCTTTTCGAGGAGTAAAAGTGAAGCAAAGGTGTTGAAAAATAAACTCAACGAAGTGGGAAAAAAGGCTCGACTGCACATAAAATGGATGAAGTTCCACTTCATGAAGAACCCACGCTACGTAAACAAATCACAATGCACGAGTACCTCGGATGTTCACTAAACATGAGAACAACATGAAAAAGGATTAGTAAGAAGAAAGAGAGTAGCATGGGCCGAATTAGGTGCTATTAAAGAAGTCATAGACCAACTAACGAACACAATACTCCGCAGTCACCTTTACGATTCAACAGTTTTAGCTCTCTGTCATGCGAACGCAAATGTGGGCTTATGCCTCAATCACTTCAAGAATAATACTGCGCAAAACCAGAAAAGAGATTGAACGACACCCATTGAAATTTAACCGGTACTGGCAACGTCCACTCGAAATGCCCAGCTTAGATCTTCGAACTTATTCAGCCTTCGAAATCCTGATGAATATAGATCGACACTAAAGCACTTCCGAGCTGGTCATCTAGTAAGAAGAACAGATGACAGATGGACGAAAAGAACAGTCCAGTGGCCTCTAAAAGAATGCAAGCGTCTTCTTTGAAGAGCACCCGTACGATGGACGAAGGTATCCGTAGCTTACATCAACCATCTGCATTCGTAGATGGGAAGGACTTGGAGAGCACGAAATGTGGCTCGTGCACGTTACCAAATCTGATCCCGACTATCACCATCGACAATCAATGTGCAAGAGAGAAATGAGAGGAAAATATGCTAGAGGCCACAGTAGAAGTGAACGCGGACCAACTACTATCGAGACACCAGCGATGCGGAGTTTTGCAAATATTTCACCATCACCATGGTTATATTATACACGACACCCTGCCATCAAAAAGGAGTGGGCGGTTAATAAAAAAGTAAAGAGATTGTGGTTTATGCCATAGCTTCAGTTTAACTGGGTTCAATGCCCATTTGTGTTCCCCAGACTAATCCCGTTGAATGGCAACTGCAGACAGCGTAAACATCCAAATAGTCATTAACTCCAGTTTACTCCTTCTAGGTTCCCAAGACGACTGTTTAAAAAGAATTTTTTGTGCTGTTACATTTTCTTTACATTTTTTTTACCTCAAAACACACCTTTTATTGGACTTTCAGACCGATGTTTGGCTAGTAAACCACTAAGAAAATTGGTGTACTGGGTGGTCTATAAATAGCCAAATATTTCAAGGTTATCATTATACTTGAAACACTCACCAAAACCACTTTACAGGACAGAAATATACTGACTCTTAGTGGAAAGAATATGCAGACGATTCGTTGCCCAAGTAGATATAAGTGAATGAAATTTATGTTCAATCCTGTCGAGATAAACACTCCACCCGAGATCTGCAAGAGTGGAATAGGTACTAGGAACCTAGGACGAACCAGTTATTTAGTGAAAAACAGATTTACGCGCTAATTTGCGAAGAAATCTGCAACAAGGAAAATAGAGAGAAAGACCGTAATCTGAGGAACATTGCGCCAAAGAGAAGGTAGAAATTGAAAACCTGCACGATGTCACTGTCGTTAGAGCCCCAGAAAATATTTTCTATGAATATTAATTTGCCGTGCGTATGTCTGCTAATTTTTTTCCCTTGTAGGAAAAAAACTTGGGTTATTCAGGCAATAAATCATGACAAAATAGGAGGAGAACGCTGCGGCGATAAATTTGAGTTAACATCCACAGTTATTTGTAGCGCATTTTCTCGTCAAAAGGGGGAACAATTCCTTCGATACGACGGTAGTGAGATACACTGAAGTCGTACTTTCAACAAGAATATCATCGGCTAATCATTTATTAAGCGCATTCCCACACGAGCGCAACACCTTTCCTGCTGTTAAAAGTGACCATTTGACACTATTTGACAGGAATAAATGAGGTTGAGAAGAAGCTAACGTGTCCTTTCCAATTAACCGCTTATTATGTAGCTCAGAGCCTTTCACAGTCACATGTGAAGGAAGGTACAGCGTCGTATAGGTTCGTATAGTCTAAGCACATATAGCCGATATAGCCCAGTGGAAGTACTGTTTCAAAAGCTTAGCACAGAATGATGTAAGAATACAATAGTATGGAGAGATTGAGACAACTAATGTACAGGACTATATTGGATCGATTGTAGCATCTACCAGCGATATATCCCAGAAAGCCCATGAACTAACCTGCCATATAATGATACAATCATCCCATTTCAATCCGACCAAAGCTAAGAAAGAGCTGACGAGGAATATGAATGAGAAGCAAAAGCCGACGAATCCTGTGAAGCTAAGCACAAGATATGCCGAGCGAGCACCGATTCCGCATAGTCTCCAAGTACCCTTAAAAAAATTGTTTTAGAAAACTGATTCGTCAAGATGCTACAAATGCAGGAAAGGTTTATAGAACACCTTAAAATCACCGAGAATCATTACAACGCTAGGGCTGAGTTTCTTTAGCTACGTTAAGGTTGAGCATAAGAAAAATGCCAACAAGCCCAGGTTTAACTCACCACTATGAATGCCGTGTGCATGAGAGCAGAGCAGAAAGCCATTACCGATGTCGTTAGTCGGCCATAAAATATCGCCGTAGGGGAGAAGTATGGCGGCCTCATCGGGTAAATCTCGTCTTCAGGACCGAAAAAATCCATTTTGCCGAAGCTGAATGAAAACTAAGGAGATAAACGGCATATGAAGGTGACTTTATGAGTTAATCGCAACTAGCCATTAGTATAAATTGCTCATTAGAATAACGTTAACACGCCTCAACAACCATCTTGTAGTTCAAAATACTTTTGAAAACGCGGTACATAAAAGAGACATCTGAAAAAACAACGCAGTAATGACAGGTGGCAAAAACAACAATTCTGTTCACAGTGACTGAGCACATCTATACGAATGAGGGCGACCTCGTGATTTTGTTGAGACGATGGGTACCATGGACATTGACGGACAACAAATTTTATTTGCTGCCTATTATTTTTTAATAGCAGGGTATTATGTGAAACGCAGCCCCAATGATGCTGAGACATCGGCAAAACCCGAAACCTCGGTTGGCCTTTTAACCCATGATTATCCTTTCCAGGAGCTCTCATGCTATTCATTGCACCACGAGTCACGTGCTTTGCCTTCCTCTGAGCCAATTTTTTTTATCTTAGCTATTCAGTTACCCGTTGACCTTTGACTCTCTGTATTGCTCTCTCAGAGTAAGCGTTCCTTTATGGCTGCTATCAACAGTCACCCATTAAATGAAATGATTTGGAAAGCACAAATCGGCATACAGAGCATTTTGGGCTTCAGTCATTGTGTCGACTGATGCGAGCCTTCGGAAGGGGTGACGGAGAGTTCGAACACCTATTGAGGTTCCCAGTTTTGTTCATATCTCAACATTTGCTTATATGCAATAGTTCGTCAAGAAATACACTAGCATCAAGAATTGGTGATCCTAAAATAGAAGAATAGTAAACAAAAGCCAGACACAAATCCAATTGTATTATAATCGCTTATGACCGAAAGTTTAGTAGTTATAATGCTCTTATTTCTACGCTTCCGTAGCATACCTGGATTGAGCCGCACACTTTGCTGCCATACCCTCCGACAAATTCCGCTAGAGTTTGGAATGAGAACATGAAAAAATTCGAGCGGCAATAACAAATATAGACGATACATTAGCGAGCAATATTGTTTCCTACTTGGCGAGGTCCTGCTCCTTCAATTACTTCCGTGTTCGAATTACAATTAATTACAATTACATTTATATTTTATTAGCTCGCACGTAGTGCAGCAACAATTTCGATGTCAGACTATTATTTAACCATGAGATGAATAATCTACGTTTCCTTTCACTTATAGGTTAACACAAAGCTGTTGCAAAAATTTGCCACCCTGCGTACCTGCCAATATGAAACCGCCTTCTGCTGGATAGACTGTCGGGAAGAAAGACAAGTTGTTATCGATGGACAATCACTCTACCATCAAACGTTTTGTACGGAATTGCATCGACGAATCACGATGCTTTATTCGGGCGAAGCTGCAATGCATTCGATTCTATATGATCACGAACACCTACATCGGAAGGAGGAACAACTATGAGCAGTCGGCTTGGATCGTTCCAATCCTTGAGAGGACGTCGATCACACGCTAGCCGAATAAAATTTGTCACCAACTTCGTTTTAAATCATCGGTGAAAAAAGAAGGCATGGTCATATCGGGGTTTTAAAAAAATCTGTTTGAAAAATACTTCCGAAACAATGTTAACTTTTTTGTTTACCGCCTGTTATAATTATTCATGGCATGGTATTACGTGTGATACAACCACAATGGTGCTGAGATATTTGTAAAACTCCCTACTAAAGATGTCTGCGGTAGGGAACGATCGCACTATCACCCTTCCGGCGGCTAACGCCTTCACCACCACTCCATGCGGATGCTTCGTTTTGCCTGTCCCTCAGCTACTTCTGTCGATCAGCGCCATCGATTCACATGCAAAGAAACCTAGTGCATTCAAATTTCCTTTCCTGAAGCTGCTCAACGAATCGTTAAGAAAAAGATAGCGAGTTGTGGTCGGTATTTTGATGAAAGGCATAGTTTGTATTTTTGGGTTTATTTTGGGTTTAAATGGTGTACATCTCCGTGGTCAACATTCGGCTCACAATGCATGGTCACATCCGTGCAAATCTCATTAAAGTAAGGGCAATACTGAGTAAAACTGTATTAACACTGAATAAAGCTTTACTAAAGAATGAGCTCAACGCAAGGCTTCACAAGCAGTTATCGTCTCCTTATATCACCCGTTTCGCTTAACACGCTCGGATAATTTTATAACGTGCCACCTGCCGATAGTCATAATGAGCTACTGCAAGCTATTAAGGCTGTTAATTTTCATTCCTATGAGAATAAGCTTTCCGAAAAGTTCTGCTTTGCCGAAGGAGTCGAAGAGCAAGTATTTTGTTTTAAGATTACGGCTGAATACCTGGCCGATGGTTTTTTCGTTGTGCTTGAAAGCCCGTGATATCCACCCGTCCACGGTCTCCATCCAACTGTTGTTGTTTTAACGCCTCACATTCCTGAAGCAACCGATTTCACATATCATTGCTTATACTACAGAATTTCTGTTTATCATTAGTCAATATTGCGCCGAATACTTTTCTTACCTGCGCGATAGGAGATACTCCTAACATCGTCCTCTTGACAATGTGGTCGAAAACGCTGTCTACTCTTTGCTCTCAACCGGGCTCTCTAGGTGCACGTTAAAGTGGCCAGGACAGTCGGTGGGCATGCAGTGATGAACTTTTGACGCAAATAAGCATTCCCTGGGGATTTTGAGATATTCATTTCACAATGGAGCACCAGAAACAATCTCGTTCCTCATTTGCATCGCACTCACGAGATTTATTCAAAGACCACTCTTTCCACATGCTTTTTCGTTTTAAACCTACAATGTTGCATGCGACTATTTGGTATCGCCATGTCGAACCTCTCTCTTAAGCTCTTTTCTGAGCTCTGACCTGGTGTAGGCATTGAGCTTTGCCACTTTAGATTTCAAAGACGGATTTTCGTCATATTTTCTTTTATCAGTTCAAACTCAGTAGTGGTGCATCAGAGACGGCTCCAAACATTAACGATGTTTGATATGAAGGTAATGTTGGTGAATCATCAGTAAGAACATGGTTCCGGAAATTTGGATCTGGTGATTTCGACTTCGATGGTAAGGAAGGCATCCCAATGAATTTGACGACGACGAATTGAAGGCACCAGTGGAAACAAACACGCGAACAATTGTTCGTGAGCTTACAGAACGGCTTGGCGCAACCACAGAAAGAATTTCCACTCACTTGAATCGCATAAGGAAGAAAAACAAACTCGACAAGTGGGTGCCGCACCAATTAAACCATGATCAAAAAAGTCGCCGTTTTGAAGTGTCGTCCGCTGTCATTCTGGGCAGCAAAAACGACCCTTTTCTCTATCGAATTGTGAGGTGCGACGAAAAGTGGATTCTGTACGACGAGTGGCGATGTTCAGCTCAGTGGTTGGAATACGATCAGGCTCTACAGCGCTTCCCAAAGCAGAAATTGCATCAAAAAAAGGTTATGGTGACTCCTAAGACCGACTTTCTGTTAACCTCGGCATTTATTGATAATTCAATGTTTTTCATCAATAAGCAGACACGAGGTTGTTAATATAGAATTTATTAGAACACAATTGCTGACGTTTCGGCGGTTTCGCCTTCTTCAGAGCCGTTTATTTGTTGTAAGTATTTAAGTTAGTTGGTGGATAGCCGCCGCACAGAGTAATACATGGTCGATAACTGACAACCTCGTGTCTGCTTATTGATGAAAAACATTGAGTTATGGTGACTGTTTGGTGGCCTACAGCCTGGCTGATTCATCGCAGTTTTTGAACCCGAACGAAATAATTACATTACAGCAGAGAAGTATTGCCGACGAATAGATGAAATGCACTGTAAGGTCCAGCAACAATGACCGGCATTAATCAAGAGAAATGGAACAATCCTTCTTAACGACAACGCCCACTTCACGTTGTGGAACCAGAGTTGCAGAAGTTGAACGAGGTGGGTTACGAAACTTCTTCTTAACCGTAATATTCGTCAAACTCTCGCCTAATGACTTTCACTTCTTCGACCACCTTAACAACTCCCTGCTTGAGAAATGCTTCATCAACCACGACGACACGAAAAATACTTTCAACGAATTCATCGCTTCCAGAACTTCAGGATTTATGCAACTGAAACAGACAAAATTGTTCTTGTTGGAAAAACTGTGGATTCAAATGGTTTTTATTTTGATTAATAAAGAATTGTTTTGACGCAGGATATGGCATTAAAAATAATGTATAACGCTAATTTATTTCTGAATGACCATTATTAAAAGTGGTTTGCCTGAACTGGAGAAATAGCATGGTGTGATTGAGTGAGTAGGAATTAGAAGGTGGGTAAGTAATGCCGCTGTCCACTGCTGTTAAAAAAAGGATCACTGAGAAATTTCTATTAAAAGTTTCAAATACAGATTGGGCCTGAAAGAGTTCACTTCACAAAGTGCAATTCCAAAGTAAATTATTTCACTATTATTTTATTTAACCAACTTTTTTAAAACTTCGGTGTGACGATGTCTGCTTTGTTCATTGACAATATAGCACGAGGATGGGATCAAATTTCATTCGGCTAACGTTTGCTCTTCGTCTTCTTCAAAATCGGATTGATCAGAGTCAATTGTCCACACTTGTTCCCTCCTCCGATGCAGGTGTTCGTGATCACATTGAGTCGAATCTACTGCAGCACCGCCCGAATAAACTAACCACACTCGGCGTTGGCATCCGACACAGGGCATTTGTTGATAGAATGATTGACTTTGTTCGTATTTTTGTTGAGCAAACGCTAGGTGTTATTATTCTTTGTTCACGATTAAGCTGACGTTTCGGCGGATTTCGCCTTCCTCAGAGCCGCTTCCTATGAGGTTTCCACTAAGTATGTCACGTAGAGACCAACCGCACAGAAATCACGTGGAAGTATAATGTGCCATTATAATGTGGGCAAACATCTTGAACAAAATCACTTGATCAATGCCGAGGTTAATAGAAAGTCGGTCGTGGCAGAATGATTGACTGTTGTCAATAACTTGTTTTTTCGAGCAAT